GTTTGAAGGAATTTTTGGGTGGTTCCCCCCCCCCCCCCCATGGACAAATGCCTTGATGCCTTTTTGGACTGCAAATTTTGATTTAGGCACCTTTATCATTTTAGATAGTTCAGTTAAATCCTGTTCTAAATGCCCGCATCCTCTTCTGGTCCTCTTTCCACAGCAAATTTCAGTGGAAGTGGGTTCTGTGCCCTCGTAGAGCACTTTTAAAGTCTTTATGGTCCTGCCCAGGGATAAGAATTTGTGTACATGAATTTGTTGGCTAGGTCTGGGTGCAAAAGCACATTATGGGAAACCTTATTTAGGAAGAAAGTCATTCAGTGAAATGATTGGTTTTTTTTCTTCTTCTTCTTTGGAACAAGTAGCAAAGCATAAATCCGGCCTTTTTAAGACTTGGTCTTGAAGACCCATGTGCCCAGGAAACTTCAGTCTGTGTAGAACCTGAGCCTTTGTATTGCAGCACATTATGTGCCTGTAGGTAAAAAGACCTCTCCAAAACAGGAGAGGCCACACTGTTGGGCAGGGTGTGCAGCTGTAGGTCTGCTGGGCTGTCACTGCTGGTGGCAGTGCCTTTATGGAACGGTGTCGTGAACACCACAGAGACACGTTGGGTTTAGCATCTGTCGCCTGGAATCTGGGCAGCAGTGAGAGTAGCAGTGAAAGGATGGCATCAGCAGGCACGTTCTGAAGGCCGGGAAGTAGTGACGGCGGCCTCTGGGTCTCATGGGTGAAGAGGATAGAAGGACGATGAAGGAGACCCTCACTCGGAGAGACAGTGAGGAATTGGGGAGAGGATAGGATAGAGAAAGTACGTGCATGAATCATAAGAAGAAGGAATTTGTGGTGGAGTGATGGTCAGGTGCGTGATGAAAGCAGGAAGTGGAGAAAATGAATGCCAGTTCTTGTAGTAGCTACTGGAGAACTGACACTTCAAGCTGGTTGGGTCCCAGCCGGTCAGAGGCTAATGTGTATGACAATACAGTCCTCAAGAGCACTGGCAGAAACAGCGTCTTGACATTTCCCAGAGAGCTGGACAGCGAGTGCTGTCTTCTTACGTGTGTGTTGCCCGAGGAAAGAGGCTTTCCAAAGAGTTGAGAAAAGTTGAGCTAGAAAAATGCTGAAGTTTAGAAAATACTTGCGACATTTTATGGTTGTAGGTTTGTGTTTTGGAGTAGTTGTTAATTTTTTCTTTTGTGTAGCAGTTTCCTCCATGAAGACTTAACTAATGTAAATGTTATTTGATGTAATTCAGAAAGCTTATGATTCTTATGGAAACCTTGGGCAGAATCTTAATGTTTTCTCTGTGTCTTTCGTGAAAGTATCACAGGAATGGGGAGATTTTTGCCTGTCACTGTGAGAAATGGAGGAAGGAGAATTGCATCTTCCACTTGTTCAGAAACATGAGCAGAAATGTGTAGCAACATTCTGTTGCCTCTTGTGTGGTTCTGCACTTGGGAAACTAGTTGGACTAAGTTCAAGGGAGTAGTACAAGTTTATGTTAGATCACATTTTATCCAACTAGGTTTGCCTGATCCTAATTATAATGCACATATGTAAGCAGCAACATTTAGATTGCAGTTTCAGATTTGAGTAAGTATTGTAACTTTGTGGTCTTATTTCGTTCTTTTGTTAAGAAGATTGAAATCTTAAGTTGTTACTATGCGTTGAAGAAATGCTGGCATTCTGTTCAAAGAAATTTGGTAGAATATGACATTTAGTAATTTTTGAGAACTGATGATATTTTTTAATACAAAAGCAAATAGATACTTTATCTTGGGGCAGGCGTTTTTAAAATATTCGCACATCTGGAGTTTGAAAACATATGATGTTATATTCTAGAAGCAGTTTACATTGATAATTTCAGTTCCTGAAGTGACATAAGAGTAACTTCCTCCTCACTGCCCAAGTATGAACAAAGGGGACATCAAAAGCGGTGTGCATTTCAGATTATTAGCTGTCTACATTTAATTTACCTTATTGAGCCTTACTGATTTGACAATGCTGGATTCCCCACCATGCAAAAAAGACTTGAGTGTGAACTTGTCTAGGCTTTGTCTTAATTATTTTTTCTTTGTAAATTATAAGGAAATCGTATTTTCATATATTCATATTCAGTGGTGGAACTGTGGGGTTTTGAGAAATGGACCCGGAGTGTTGGAGCTCACGCTCCTCTTATTGAGACCCTGAGTGTTTGGTGTTCTAGAGTAGTGTTTCTGGAATCCCAAACAGAGGTACCCTGAGTGAAATCTGGTCCAACTTAAAGTCAAGAAGTGTTATCTGTTAACTTCCATGCACTCGAAATTTCTGCTTTTCAGCGCACAGGCAGGGGCAACCTTCATAGCATAATACGAGTTAAATAACCTTTCTTCTTTACCTTCTACAGACACTGTGACTGATGAGAGTTAAAGGCCATGGATGAAGATGGGCTTGAATTGCAGCCACATGAGCCAAATGCATTTTTTGATCCAACAGGTCTGTCAGGAGATAATATGTAGATAAGAGTGTTCACATTAGATGCAATTGACTGTTGTTTATTTTGTCTTTGCTTAAAAGTGCTATGCTGCATCAATGCCTTTGTATAGCGTAGTTGCTTTTGATTTTTGGTTGTTTTTATTACTCAGAGCAGTATGAATGAGCTACTGTTCTGTCAAGTGATAGTTGTGCGCATATTGGGGGAGAGGCTAAAAATTGGTAGTCTTTTCCAGGAGAGAAAATGTTCTTCACCTTAGTTAGTTCAGCATCTACTGAGGACTTGCTTTGTCAGCTCCCCATGTATTTGCCTATCTTAATTGCGTATAGGCTGTTATGCTCGTGTTACTAAATTGCAGCATAGTGTAAAAGTTGAAGTAAAATGGAAGTAATTTCAATTATTAACCACCTCATCTGAGTTAGTTTTACAATTTAACTGCTATTTTAATTATGTTTTTCAGGAACTGATGCAGCACATATGGATGGAGATCAGATTGTTGTGGAAGTACAGGAAACAGTATTTGTTTCAGATGTAGTCGACTCAGATATAACTGTGCATAATTTTGTTCCTGATGATCCAGATTCTGTAGTAATCCAAGATGTCATTGAGGATGTTGTTATTGAGGATGTTCAGTGCCCAGATATCATGGAGGAGCCAGATGTATCTGAAACTGTCATTATTCCTGAACAAGTGCTGGACACAGATGTAGCCGAAGAGGTTTCTTTGGCTCATTGCACTGTCCCAGATGATGTTTTGGCTTCTGACATAACAGCAGAAGCAATGTCTATACCAGAACATGTACTGACAAGTGAGTCAATGCATGTACCTGAAGTTGGACATGTAGAACATGTAGTTCATGATAACGTTGAAGAAGCAGATATTGTCACTGATACTCTGGGAACAGATGTTGTTTCTGAGGAAGTCTTGGTGGCAGACTGTGCATCAGAGGCAGTGATCGATGCCAATGGAATCCCTGTGGAACATCAAGACGAGAAGGGCAACTGTGAAGATTACCTTATGATTTCCTGTAAGTGTCTGGCTAAAGCCATCGAAATTCTTATGATGCGGGCCTGGGTGGTTCTTGAAATATCTGAGGGAGGGCTTACAACAGTACCAAACCCAGATTCTCCGTATTATTTATTGAAATGCAGATCTCACAAGGCATTCAAATGACGGTATTTTTAGGAACATGTACCTGCTAAAAATTCTGGTGAAGCTAATGGAGAGAAATACTGGCAAATGCATGTCTGATTATAAATTATTTCTGTAGCATTTTAAAGAGGAAGAATTCCAGTAAACTAAATGCCGTATAATTAGTAAGAACTGGAAAAAAAAAAAGTGACATTGTTTGAAAACACATGTATATACAGGTTACTAAAATTACCGCCAAGACATTAAGAAAATAAAAAAAAAGTATTTCATGGAAGAGGGAAAGTAAAAAACCCTATTTTTTGGAGGTCCAAATGACAATTTGTTTTCCTTGTCCTGTTTTTTGCTAAGCTCCCACCTCTTCCACCCCATTTATAGTTAGATACAGGCAACAATATACTTTTATTTGCTGTTAGAATGTGTTTTCTTCTCTTGATTAAGCAAAGGATGGAGGTATGCTGCTAACAAAAAGAGTAGTTATTGCTGCTCATAGCTGAGAAGCAACCGTGAATATCTTAATCTCCCTTAGAAACAGTGGCACAATCCATTTGAATCGTATTTCAAAAGACTTAAAAGCAGAGGGTGCAGAAAAACAGAGCATATGATCAATCCTTTTTCTACCGAGGATGTCCATTTGTGTGAACTAGAGCTTACTCTATGTTACTTACTGTAAAGATTACTCAGTGCAGCACCTGGGAACATCAGAGTGTCACTGCTGAACATTTGTTTGTCATAGAAATAGAAAAGCTTTGTTAGGCCGGTTTGTTTAATTGCCATTTCAGGCACTTCAAGTCTGGTGTTAAATGGCTCCACTGATGAGGTGTACTTCATGCTCCACTTCAATTACCTTTTTTTTTCTTTTGACCTTTTTTTTTTTCCTTTGGACACTTTTTTGAAATGTATAATAACTTGTTTTAATTTTATATTCTGTACTTATGGATTTTAATGTTGCTTCTCCTTACCTAGGATCACTGCATTTCTTAATTTATCATCTCTTGAGTTCCTTGAGTAACCTTGTGCAGCCATGTTTTGAGTTTATATGAGGTACAGTTAATTCTCTATTATCTGGGAAAACAATGAATGGGATAATGCAAAATATGGATAACAAAATACTGTAAAATTAAGCTGCAAGATCATACTGAGGTGAAGCAGGTCAGGGAAGCTGCTCTCTGAAATACTATTTAGCCGAATTAATAAATGTAGTCTGTACAGTGTGGTGCAGGTAAAGCTTTCTGATTCTGGACCCAAGTTAGATCAGATATAAGCAGCTCAAATGCTTCTGCCCCTGCAGCGTAGTTAGGCAACAAAGTGGGTAATTCACCTATGGATCATTGAGGCCTGACTGTCTAAAGACTCTGGTGGGGTGATCCTTACCTGTTTCTTGTCCCTGACTAGCTCTTTTGGATGCTGTTGCTCCTGTCTCTCTGCTCGCCCTTCCCCGGGGGGCTGTCATCCTGCAGCATGGGCAGCAGGGAGGCCTCGGGCTGCTGTCATAGGAACACTTTGCAAACTGTGTCTGTGCAAATTCAAGTGAGAGGGGTGGGTAGATACGTGTCCCCTTCAACCATTGCTGGTGGCTGAATGAGGACAGAACGGCTTGGTAGATGCCATATTACATGATCCCTAAAATACCCACCCAGCTAGGAAGTCTTCTGAGATGTAGCAGTCACCAACAGGTTGTGACTGGCAGAAAACACCAGAATTTAGTCGTTCAGTTGCACTGGGATATTCTCCATTTTTCAGTTACGTATTTCTGCAGTTTCATACTTTATTTAAGATTAAATGCCTCTTGATCGTCTTGCAATGTACTTTGTTTAGATTCAGAACCTTAAATAAGCCAACATTTAAAACAATCGTTACGCTACAAAACATGCATCCTCTCTATTTGTATTCATTTCATTAAGTATGTTCTACAGTTCATTTTAAAGGGAAGTTCCCTATTACCACCTACTGTGTTTAAAGGCTGCATAACAAGTTCCTCTGGTGGTGAAGTCAGAGTCTGGTGCTTTTCCGTCAAGTAAAGACTGTCTTGCCAAATAGTCTCTTGGTTGTATGGAAAACATTATTTGAATTAATTTCCTTTTTTGCATCAGCAGTGTATGTGTTTATTGATCTGTTGACTGTCTCGGTTCTTCAGTTGAACTTTCTATTACGTGATTTTTAAAAGGTAGTAACATCAGCCTAATTTTTTTTTTTTTTTTTCATCCTAACCTGGAAATTCATGCTTGATTCTGGCAAACTTCCCTGAACTGCTGGGGCAGATGTTGGAATGTAATCTTGTCTGCCATTACAGTAGCCAGCTGTAGCTGCTTCCCAGATCTGGGAGCTTGACGGTGTTCTTCAGGATGCTTTTGCCTGGCCTCTTTTAGCTAGGCACTTGCAAAGCAGGGGGTGACAGTTGTGTTCTTTCTGCCGTAGGTTTCTCAGTCTGTATTCTCCAATGGAAGTTTCGGGCAAAATCTTTTTGGTACCATCTTCCTCTCTTGTGGCACTCTTCAAGCATTTCCATTTTTGTTCCTAATGAACTGAGTCTACATAGATTTTCTTAGGATAAAGCTAAGAAAATTATCTTGAAAATACCTGTTTTGAAATGACTAATCTATATGTACTTTTTAAAATGCTGTGTTTCTACCTCCTTTCTTGGTTTCAGATTGGTTTGTCTTTTCGAAGAGTACAATCCCTGTGGGTTTCATTCTGTGACTTTGCTTCAATAAACACAGTATTTTACTATTTCTTTTCCCATTTAGATTTAATTTAGCTTCTGCATTGATATGCATTTGCTTTTTTTCATTTCCAAGATAACGTTTCTGGGCATGGCTTATATTATCACTTACCTTTTGATGGACTCACCTTTTTTCTTTGATACTTTGTCTTTGCCCTCAAGCTTCATCTTTGGTCCATGGTGAATTTGGGGCACTTAGGGCAGAGCAGAATCAGGTGTTCATTCAACAGAGAATGCAAACTGCTACTAGTTAGTAGCCTGAAAAGGATTCAAGGAGGTTTGATAAATTGGTTTTTCTTCTTTCATGTATGCTATAACAAGCCAGTTCATGAGTTTGGTCAGGAAAGGATAAATTGAGTTCTGGCTCACACTGGTACTAATTATTTGGTAGCAAATTTTATGGCTTCGATAACTGCTTCTCTGTGAGTGAAATAGTAATGGTGAGATTAGCTAGTGTTTGTCAAAACAACAACAAAAACCACCTGCATTTACTAACCAAGGAAAGTAGTGCCTTACACCTGGCCCTAAGGTGGAAGTTAAGATTTTTGCTTGTCTGGTTGTATTCAATTTGGCAAAGTAAGACACATCCTCTGGCATGACCTCATTCTGTAACACAAAAAGTTGTACTCTGATATACCTGTATGTAATTGCAGTAAAAATGGTGAGGCACAAAGGAGGTTTGACAAGGGGAGTCTGGAGAGCGGGGAGGGTAGCCTCACAAAGTTTAAGCCGCAGTTTTAGGAAGTACGTGATGTTTGCAAATACAGGAGCTGTGTATGTCCATCCATATCCTTACTTCACTCTGAGTTAGAGGTGTCTGTTGTTTGTTCTATCTGAATTAACACTTTGCATTACAGGAGTCAGAACCCAGGGTACTCAAAGAGAGAGAATAACAATCGCATCTCTTCATAGGTCTAGGTGAAACCTATGTTTTCTCATCCTTGTTGGAGGTGTACGTTGAAAGCAATGGATCTGGTCAAAAGAGCCATAAAGTTCATGCCTTCATTAAGGCCATCCGGTAGACTTCTAGTCAAGAAATCAAAACACTTTATTTGCTTTTTTAGAATAAGTAAGTACCTCCCTCTTTTTCCCTGGAGGTTCTTAAAGATGCAGGAAATCACATTTTAATTCCTGTAGGGTACAACTTGCTGCCGTGCTTCTGCCTGACCTCTGGAATGGCACCAACAGTTGTTGCAGCAGAGGCTGCTCAGGAGAGAGGTCTCACCGTGAGAGGTGATGGGGATGAGAGTTCCCTTGGGCTGCACGATGCCTCAGCGCTTAGTCTGATTTATGTGCTGGGGAGGGCAGGAGGAGAAGGACAAGTGTTAGATACCACTTTGGAGCTCAGGAAGTTCTCTTCTGCTCAATTGCTGCCCTGAGGGGGGCTTCAGATGCTAGGGTATACTGCTGCTCATGTGTAATGGCAATGGCCTTAAAATCGAAATAGAGCAGATTTCTGTTTTCTCACAGGTTAGGAAACCTGCTTTGCAGTTTAAGAGGTAACTGGATGGTAAAAATAACTTCTTCAGTGGACTAGGAATTCTCTGCTATCAAGTGAAGTACAAGTAAAATGTTTCTATCACAGATAACTGAACAAAGTCTGTCTGGGGAATACAGCATGCTTTTAATCTATTTTAGAGGAAACAGAATAGTTAGCAGTGGCCTTTTTCATTAAGAATGGTTAAATAGGGTTGTTTATTTTGTAAGCAGACAAGTATCCCATGATACGCATTTTTTTAGCAGCCAAGAGAATCATTTGGGAACATAAAGGCTGACAAAATAGATGATTCTTGTCTAATTGCTCCATAGACACATTTTAAGATCTGTTAAACTGGTGTAGAGACAGACTTTTTCTTAGAATGTTTGTAAGAATTGTTTCAGTGTGTTATTTAGCAATGAGCGGTGTGTACTTGAAAAAGATGGAAGGTTTCTTAGTGCTTAAGTGAATTTTGTCTTTTACAATCCTTTTGTTTTCCTCATTAATCCAATATAGAGGAGAAATGGTAGGAAAGAATAAATGTAAAAGCTTCTGGAAAACATTAAAAAAATAGAGTAACATATTTACATTTTTCTAGTTTGGAGTAAAAGACTGCAAGGTTACAAAGTCTGTATCTGCTCATCCATTAAATATTGGACATAAAAAAATAAAAACAACTTATTGAGGAAAGTGTATGTGTCATGGTTGAACAAAAGATGTACCATTTAAGCAAATGTAGTACACAGGATCTTGGGGTAGGATTTATGCTCCTATATGGGGAAACTGGCCTCAGCTGGGTTTTTGATATTGTTTTCGTTATCAATGCACAGGAGCTTGTTTCTGTCCCAGAAATGCCATTGAGCATATTTTAATAAAGATATAGGACATAATTAATAAATAATAATAGTAAAGATACAGGCCATAATTATTTGTTGGACATTATAGTTTATGACATTATATGATTTTTTTGATTGGATGTAATATTTTCAGGAGGAGAGAAATCAGCAGGAGACAAATGCTGACATCATGATAGAACACATATTAAACAAACAATCTGTTGTTAATGTTGCCGGCATCTTCTATTTCTTTGCTTTACTCTGTTGATCTCTTTTTGTTGATTTCCTTGCAATGTAAATGATAGCTAGACAGGCTTTAAATATGCCACATCTTTCATGTTGTGTGGCACCTTTCTCATCTGTTCGTGCTTTTAAGAAAAGTTAAGCATTGTCTTTATATGGAAGCAATTACTGCAACACTGGAGAAGCACATACATTTTTTTTAGTTGTTCCTTGCAGCTCATAGTATGCAAAGAGCAGGCTGCTGTAATCAGTGAAGTCGGTGAAGAATGCCAGCAAACTAACCATAGAATGCATTCTTGCAATTTACTTTACATAAAATAATGTTGTGTCTAATAATTTCTCTCTCATTTTTCTTTTTTTTTTTAACTCGGAGAATTAGTTCAAATCCACTTGTTTATTGAAGTAAAGCTGCCAGCTAGTAGAAGGAAAAAATAAATCATACTTGCAAAGTTTTTAGTGTTCAGTTCATATCTAATTAAATGGATGCACAAGGTATGACAGCATTGGAATAATGCTAGTCTGAACTTTTTTCTAGCATGTGACTTGTGATTGGTTTAGTAGCTGCCAGCATCTGTACTTGAAAGGAAGTGGTCTCTTATAAGCTTAACTAATCAAGTACTTTGGGTTTGGGTTTTGGGTTTGTTTCTTTTTTGTAATTTCAAAGAGGAACAATGTGAGAGAAGATCAGTCATGCATGGTATTTGTGGGATCCCTTGATGGGCTGTGAATTCGAATGAAAAATTCAAACATCATCAGAGTTCCAACTTGAAAGATTGATCAGTCAAGTATTTATGAATATCATTTTCTCGGATTGTGGGACTGAGATATGTGAAGAATGCAGAAACATAGGGAAAGTGTTAAATAGAAATCAAATTTCATAAACGCTTCCAGAGTGTCCCTGAATCATTATAGATAAATGCTTATGTAGCCATAGGACAAAATACCACGGAGATGGTACTTTGTGTGATAGGTACCCATTCTCTTTCACCTTGTCTCTTTTTCTAATTTTTATCTTTTTTTTCTACCTTTCTCTTTCCACCCTACTTTTCTTCCTGTTGCCTGTTTGCAACTATACTGCAAATACTATTACTTTTCAAGCCCTTCAGGGACTTTAGTTTTTCAAGTATTGCCACCTGTCAAGAGTGATACTTTTTCCTTTTGGATGAGAAAAGTTGGTCTAATACTCCTACGTGTAAATTTCCATACAGTTTAATGGAGCTGTTAGAAAATATTCAGACCAGTTGTTACATTTTTAAAACACTGTTGAATATGGAGGGAAATCAGGGATAAACAAACTCTTAAGTTGTGTAACAATTTTTTGTTTTTAATCATGTTATATAAAAGATGACTTTGAACCTTGGAGAACTCATTTCAAAGAGTAAATGGAGCGTATTTTAAGATCTAGAATTCTTCTGTTGTGTGAATGTTATCCACGGATACTTCCATATATGTGTGGAAGTGAAAAACTCTGGTTTTGCTTAAAAGGAACCACCAGCCTGTTTCACATGGTGCACATAGGCTGGTTTGTTCTCTCATTGCTTCAGCCATAATTTTCCTTCCTTGCGTGCGTTCCAGCATCAGTTGAGCTTGGTGGCAGACTTCCCTGTTGGCTTCAGCGGTGTAAAACCAGTCTACGCTGATTTGAAAGCCTTCCAAGTACACATGCATGACACTGGAAACAGCCAAGTTAAAGGAGAACTACTACATAAATCTAGTGTAGGAACGAAAGCAATTTTCTTTTTGTCAGAGTTCCAGTGGTGTTTGGTGTTTCATGGATATGCCAAAGAATTTCTGAAAGTCTGCACAATAACTGAACATACGTACTGTGGAGCTACGTTGTTAACGTGATTCAAAAGAACATCTTAAGGTTTTTACTTTTGAAATGCTTTGGGGTTTCAGCTACAAGATGTTATGTTGTCCCATGACATAAAGTAGTTTTTTAAAAGTCTTACTGCTTGAAACATTCTGTTTGGTGGCCAAACATTGATCATGAACTCAGCATAGAAGTATTTAATGTTTTTTCTGCTGCTCTTTTGGTGAGGAGAGAGATAGACTAATTTATTTTAGTGCTTCATAATTTAATGCTACTCATATTTTTTTGTGAATAATGTTGCCTGATTGAGAAATTGTACTTAAATATAGTTGTGTTTGATAAACTAGGACGTGTTCTGTCTCGTATATCTAGTTTAAATGCTAATTTATTGACTTCATGGCAGGAAAATAATAGTAATAACATTTTGAGCTTTTTTTTTGTAAAGTAGATCTTAAAGTAAATAGAAAAGTTGCAGTTACTGAGTAGTAAAGCTATGGTTTAGTTATGAGGGTAGTTTAATGAATGCCAGTAAAATGAGCTTACTTTATTACATATTTTATTTTGTCTGTGCTAGGCATGGTAATTAAAAATTCTACAGCATTTATGGGACAGTTCTTACACTTCCTTTAGTGTAAGTTTCACTGCTTGTCATGAATTGAAGTTATGCATGGCTCTGAGGGAGCCACATCAGCCTCCAAAGTGACTTTAGGAACAATAAAGTCACAATTACAAAAGTATGCTGTCATGTTAAGAATTCTTAAATAATCTCAACACTCGAGAAACATCTGGGGCTTCTGAAATTGGGAGATTCTCTGAAGGTCTTGAGATGCTGGATTTGATTTTTGTGGGTTTGTATGTAGTTGTTTCTTTTTTTTTCTTGAAAACCCATGCTTGGTAAAGTAAGATGGGGGAGGGTGTGCGCGTGCCTATGTAGAGTATGTCTTCAAAATCAGAAATGTGTTCCTCATAAAGCTGGCTGTCAGCCATGTTTATGTGGGAGGCCTAGGCAAGTTATGGCAACGCAAACTGCAGCGTGGTGTCGGCGCAGCTCTGAAAGCAAGAGAACAAAATGTGAGGCGATAGTAAGGCGAGTACACAGGGTACAGCATAAAACCCCGTGCAAGTCCCTTTCCGCAAGGGCACCAGGAACAGTCAGTTGAACAGGTTCCCCAGCGCTGTAGCATCAGGGCAGCGCTTCCACATGGTGCTCGATCCCTCCGCTGTTGAGTGGATGAGGAAAGTGGAGGGCTTTCTTCCTGTAGTTTTCAGTTAGGTTTCCTCTCTAGTCCGCCGAAGAAGCACCAGTAACACCGCTTTGCAAGGAACTGGGTCTGACTGGCAGCAGTAGTACTGCTTGCATTAGAGACAGGATTGAGCAACAGATCGTGCTTTTAAAAAAAACAGTTAATTGCTTATTAGTTGTGAAGGAGAAAGCAGTTAAAACTGAGAATAAGTGAAATTATGCCACAGAGTAAGTACTAACATACAGTTTCTTCCTACCATCATCTTGCTGCAGATCACCATTTCCCTATGAGCATTGCCTGGTGTGGTGCTCGTGCTTCTAGTCATGTCACTGCAGCCCTCTTGCACTTCCCCCTTAACTAGAAGACGCAACTTGAATTTCTTTTTGTGTTTATTGTCATTGTTTTCAAGGATATGAAAAAAATACTTATGGGTAGGTTCTTTATCACAACTTTTTGATTTTAAACTGCTTCCAAATTTGAGTAATAAAGTAATAAAGTCTTTCATATATACCTGTGTGTATATGACTGGATAATTGTAATACTTGTTTTTGTAGTGGATGATGCTGGTAAGATAGAACATGAAGGTTCTGCTGAAATTACCATGGAAGCAGAGTCAGAAAGTGGCTCTTGTAAAGTGGATGGCATTTGTCCAGAAGTCATCAAGGTCTATATATTCAAAGCAGATCCTGGAGAAGATGATTTAGGTAAAATACGCTCATTTTAGAATACTCCAACGTGACATCTGAAATTTTGCATAATTAGACTGTGGTTTCTCTCAAGTCATCTGTAAAGAGCTGTGGGTCTAATGTTAAAAAGTGACAAACTTTCAATTTTCTGCAGTTTAGCATAGAATTTGAACAAAGTGTATTTAAAATATTTTGCTCTGGTCTTCCTAATTAGGGGGCACAGTAGACATTGTGGAGAGCGAGCCAGAGAATGACCACGCAGCTGGATTACTTGATCAAAATAGCAGTATTCGTATTCCAAGGGAGAAAATGGTTTACATGACTGTAAATGATTCTCAGCATGAAGATGAAGACTTAAGTAAGTAGGTGGCTTTCATTTGGGAACAAGGATTTTCACTTTCAGCAGTGCAGTGTTCCTATTAATTTTTTCTTGACTTCTTTTTCTCTTAGATGTTGCAGAAATAGCTGATGAGGTTTATATGGAAGTGATTGTAGGAGAGGAGGATGCAGCAGTGGCCCACGAGCAGCAAATTGATGACACTGAAATTAAAACTTTCATGCCTATAGCTTGGGCAGCAGCTTATGGTAGGTAATACTCAAAGAATTATTCTTGGTGACGCTGTGTAGCAAAATGTCGGGGGTTGTTTTTTGGAGGGTAGTGGAGTATTTGTGCTTTTGTGTTTGTTTTTAAAGTTTTAGTTTAAGAATGGTTTGTTGGCATAATGAGCCTTAAGAAGAGAGAAGCTGTAAGGCAGGCTGCTTCTTACTCCTATTTTAACAGGCATTTTCCTTCATATTTGCATGATGTAGAAGGGGAAGTACACAAGCTTTCAGCCAAAAAATTGCAACTCAGGTACAGCTGTCCTTCACAGTTTTAGGACACAGTAAGAGCTGGGGGCGGGGAGGGGGTGGGGAAAAAAGGCAGATGGGAATATGTAAGATTCAGTGTAACAGTGAAAAGCAACACTGACCTCTAGCTTGAATTAAGTGCTTTCTAGAAGGAACATATAAATATGTGATTTCAGTAATGGAAATAATTAATTGAAGCTGTAGGGAGACATCTTAAAATTATAGCAGAACCTTGAGAATATTTCCAGCATGCAGAACCATTTTTCTTGATCGTTAGTATCTGAGCACCAACTGGTGCACAAACTGATTTCCAGAACTTACGTAAGCCGGTAGACCAAAATCTCATCTCAGAAATGTTCCTGTATTGCCCCTTTCTGCTTTAAAACAAAGCAGAAGCAGCAGTGGAGTAGAGGACAAAGCTTAGGTTGTATGTCTGCCTGGTGTGGATTGTGGTGATGGTGCCAGCAGACAACTGGCAGGGAAGCGCTGAGGATGCGATGGGGGCTGGAATCAGGGATGTAAGTCAAGGGAGGGCAAGATTTCAGGGAGCAGTCTGTGTTAAAGGTTATTTAGGAGATGGATGGTTGTGCACCCAGAGCCTGATCTTTGGCCATATACTGGTGAGCACAGTTTCAGTGGAGAGGAAAGGACAGAAACCAGGTAGAGTGGGAATTAAAAATGAAATTGGCTGAACTCGAAACAACAGTTGTAGACTGAACATTCAGTGATTTTTCAGAAGGAGGAGAAAATTGAGCAGAGTGTATTAAGAACAGAGAGATGGAATTGAAAGGAGAATTTAAGAATGTGGGAAACGGTGGAGTGATTGCATTGTCAGCAGTAAGCGACCTAGCACACAAGGTGAGAGGTGGCGGGAAAGGGAAGAAATAATGAAGCATGAAGGCATGAAAATGGCAGAGGTTTGTCATCTGCACTTCTCAGAACTGTTCTCCACTTAAAGAGGGTTTAAGAGCTGGTAACAGTCGCACGTTAAACTAAATTTGTTTTGTTGCTGTATTGTAGCAAAGCCCAATCCCACTGTGCTTTATATTCCAGCAAGTTTTAGCAATTTTATTCTAGTATCAGAAAATGTTTGGGGCCTGTTTTGTGTTGTACTCTAGAAGGACTCTTCATGCTCCTGTTGCTAACCATACTTTCACATGTAAGATATGAAAACGGGTTTTGCTTTCAATGTTTGTCACTTGCCTCATTTGCTGTTCAACACTTGAGCTAGCAAATAGATCAGAATCTTCAGGCTCTGTGCATGTCTGTTCCTGGCTCTGAGTCTTCTTACGTTAATCATGAATATTCATCCTCAGCACTCTACAAAGGGAACAGCTATTGAGCATCTTGCGCTTTCTTACACTTCAGTCTTCCTGTCTTATTTGTGTGCTTTGCTTTCGCTAGGAACTGTTGCCTTCTATTGATCCAAGTAAATACTTAACCACAGCATTTGTTACTAAAATTTACTTACACCCTTAAATCACCAACGTTAAATTGATTGCCAATAAATACCTTCCTGAATATATAGATATATTTACTTGTAATTTTCATGTTTATTTTACATCCAGTAATACTATTTGTGTATTAAACACAAAGCCCTGTGAGGCAAAGATTGTTTCCTTCTTTCTGTTATACAATACTGAGCATGCTCTTTGTTCCCAGTAGAAGGAATTTGTAAGTGTTAAAGCATCAGGTGTGCAAATAGTAAGTAGTGTGCTTTGGGTGCAAGTTTATGGGCTGTTCGGAACGAATCTTTGATCGCAGTTCCAGTTCTGAAACTTGGTGTGTGAGAAACTTCAGTCAGGTGAATTTGGATGTCCAGGAGTGAATGGGAGCTCACACATGAATGCACTTCAGGACTGAGAAGAAAATGGGGCACAGTAAATATTGTGACATGCTATTGTTTACTGATGTTAAACATTTTGGGCATAATTGGCAACCAAAGAAATGCAAAAAATAGTGCATCTAAAGGAGAACTCTCTGTGAAACAGAAAACCATTAATTCCTGTAAATTGTGTACTCCTGTAAAATTAGGGTAACAAAGCCAGTGCTTCCAGGTTCATAACACCAACCACAATTCCGAAGTTACATACAGAGAAGTTTTGCAGCTCATCCAGTACATTATTATGGTTTGACTAAGTGTCCAGATGACAGTTTATCATTGCTTTTATTATCATTGTAGAGTTTGTTGCTCAAATAATCTGTAGAGTGATGACGGTAGGTAACTTTTTAACTTCCCTTGTTAGGTAATAATAATGATGGCATTGAAAGTCGGAATGGCACTGCAAGTGCTCTTTTGCACATAGACGAGTCAGCTGGACTCGGGAGACTGGCTAAGCAAAAACCAAAGAAAAAAAGGAGACCTGAGTCCAGGCAGTATCAAACAGGTGAGTGTCTGGTGCCTGGCTGCACTCTCTTGTCCGTAAACAGATGTACTTTGCTGATGGCATGTGCAGTGTCTTGTCAAAAACAGTGATTGCTTTGAGAATTATGAGTGCATATTTTATTTTAAAGTTTTTAAATGCATAGTTGACTTGGATTGTGGGGGGTGTTTTAAAGAAAACCATCTCTGACATAGGAAAAAATCTGTACCATGGCAAACGGTTAAAACCTACCTACTTAACTTGCCACACCAGTTTTAATGTTTAATGGAACTTTTTAAAAGGTGTTGTTAGATAAACAGTGTTCTGTAATAGTGCTTTTTAAAAACCCTTTTTGTCTTTATTGAAAATATATAGAACAATACATTTCATTATATCAGCTCAATAAGTAACTGGAAAATCTGAACATTATATATTGCATTTGGTAGTGTAACTTCTATACCCTTTTCTGTTTTAATTGTGAAATAAATTGTCTTGATGTTAAGGCCAGCGTTCTTACTTGCATCCGTAAGAACAAATACGCTGCTTTGGCATTATTTGGTTTCTGCTGTTACTGCATTATGGTCTGAATGCTTTATTTGGTCTGATAAAGTTGAAAAAGCACAAGACTATTTTCTTTAGTGGCCTTGCCTTAAATGATACTAAAAGTTTATTTCCAAATTGTGACTTGACTGTAGGAGTTCTGTTTTGTCTAGCACTGAATCAGTAAACCAGGCAAATTTTGATCTTAAAGTTTGCTTTTTCTATTTCCAGCTACCTCGTCAGTTCTCCTTCTAAAACATTTTTGGAAAAGAGAGCTTTTTAGCATGCCGAGACAAATTCAGGGTAAACAAATCAGGCTGATGGATGAGTGCAAATGAGTTCCAAAGCTTTGAGGTGTCCGTATGTGAAATGTATTCTCATTGATTCCTGCCTGGTACCTCTTCAGATTGTCACTGTGACAGATGGCACAAGGAGGAGGTGTTAGTGTGGGGACATGTGAATTGTAGTCAGTGGTAGGTGATTAAACTGCCAGATTAAAGTCAAAGAAGATCATGTGCTGCACTTACTATGTAATACTCACTTCAGCAAGTCGGCTGCCGCTCTTTGCCCCAGGGTGGGTTTCTGTGTGCATCTAATGTGTGAACTCGTCAGAATTCTTCAAAGTAGAATTATGTGAGGTGAAGAACAGCTGGGTGATGCTTTGGTTATTTCCATCAAAAAGCAGTATTTCCTTTCTCTTGAGAATAAAAATGAATGAAAGTAGTCATTCTCTCAATTTCTTCTACCTAACCCAGTACCAAGCTTGTTTATTATATAGTAACATGTATGCGTCTGATCTTGTTTAACAATTCAGCTTATTGTTCAGGTTGAAACATGACGTTTATCGAAATGCAATATTGTTGCATAATATTGATGAAGGGTTTCTTGTTGTTTTTCAGCAATAATCATCGGCCCTGATGGTCATCCATTGACAGTCTACCCCTGCATGATTTGTGGAAAGAAATTTAAATCTAGAGGTTTCTTGAAAAGGCACATGAAAAACCACCCGGAGCACCTTCTTACTAAGAAGAAATACAGATGTACAGACTGTGATTACACTACGAATAAAAAAATAAGTTTACATAACCACTTGGAGAGTCATAAGCTGACCAACAAAACCGAAAAGCTTATTGAGTGTGATGAGTGTGGGAAAAGCTTCTCTCATGCAGGAACTTTATTTACTCACAAGATGGTGCACAGGGACAAAGGAGTTAATAAAATGCACAAGTGCAAATTCTGCGATTATGAGACAGCAGAACAAGGATTACTGAGTCATCACCTTTTAGCTGTCCACAGCAAGAACTTTCCTCATATTTGCGTGGAGTGTGGCAAAGGATTTCGCCATCCGTCAGAGCTCAAGAAGCACATGCGAATCCACACTGGTGAAAAGCCGTACCAGTGCCAATATTGCGAATACCGATCTGCCGACTCTTCTAACTTGAAAACTCACGTAAAGACTAAACACAGTAAGGAAACGCCGCTCAAGTGCGATATTTGTTTCCAGACTTTTTCGGATACCAAAGAGCTACAGCAGCATACTCTTATGCATCAAGAAAGTAAAACACATCAGTGTTTGCATTGTGACCATAAGAGCTCAAACTCGAGTGATCTGAAACGACACATAATTTCGGTCCACACAAAAGACTATCCTCATAAGTGTGACATGTGTGATAAAGGCTTTCATAGGCCTTCGGAACTGAAAAAACACGTGGCGGCTCACAAGGGTAAAAAATTGCACCAATGCAGACATTGTGACTTTAAGATTGCAGATCCGTTCATTCTGAGTCGCCACATACTCTCAGTTCACACAAAGGATCTTCCGTTCAGGTGCAAGAGGTGTAGAAAGGGCTTTAGGCAACAGAACGAGCTGAAAAAACACATGAAAACACACAGCGGCAGGAAAGTTTATCAATGTGAGTACTGTGAGTATAGCACTACAGATGCCTCAGGCTTCAAACGGCATGTTATTTCCATTCACACAAAAGACTACCCTCACCGTTGTGAGTATTGCAAGAAAGGGTTCCGACGGCCTTCAGAGAAGAACCAGCACATTATGCGGCATCATAAAGATGTTGGGCTGCCTTAAAGTCTCTTTCACAGACTTGCGGCTGGAATTATAAAGGAATTTTGCCTTTCAGGCAGTTAGCTTATTTTAAAGCCAATCACCTGCGATCACACACACACACAAAAAAAAAAACAACAAAAAAAACATACTGTGCATTTGATTTGTTGCTGTATAAAAATAGGATTATTGCTTCTAGTTGACTTTTATACCTTTTGTTCAATAGCGTGTTCTGAATTCTATTCAGTTTGTTTAATAAATGAAGAAAAGATGGCAACAATAAAGTTGCATTTAATAAAGTAAACCCTGTCTCTTACTGAATTTTTCAACCGTAATAGTTTATTTAAGTATATTTATCTTACTGACCTCGTTGATACTCACAGTGTCCATGTTAATGCAGTTTTGTCGTGAATTTTAAAAATATGAGATTTCTCTTGATAAAATTGTCAGAGGTGTGTATAAAATGGGGGATTGTGATGTTGAAGATGAAGTCAGTAGGGCCCACCTGATTGTCTTGCTTTGACTACACAGACTTTGTGGCAGGTTAACTATTTTCCATTTGAGGAGTTACACATCTAACTTTATTGCGGAAAACTGTTCTGCGTTTTAATTCGGGTTTCAGAGAGAAAAAAAATTTTTAAATGGTTTGAGGCATTTGTAATCTTTCTTTGGCGAATTTAAAAGTATGCTCAAATACTACGTTTATTGTTCTGTGCTTCTTTGTCTTTGAAAGGTTTTGTGTGTTCCAAATGAGTTGGGCTTTTTTCAATTTACTGCTGTCTTAATGTTGGAAACGTAAAATGCTGTTGTTCCGTTTGCAGAGTTAATAGATCACAACTGTCCGTACGTGCCGGTAAACATACCTCAAACGTGACGCTTTTATGTATATGAGTATTTCTTTGAAAGAACAGTTTGTGGTTCAAGTCACATTTTTATTGTGAGTTGTTTTAGAATAAAATTTAAGACCGAGAGGTGCCTCGATTTTGGAAACGAGATACTTAGAGTGAGAGCTTCAGAGGGGGATGGAGTGGAGCAGATGCGTTCGTCAGGAGTAGAGATGGTTTAATGTAGATATCCTTAATAAGAAAAGTAACTTATGGTAGTAGCAGAACTGTTTCTAAATTGAGCGTTCTTCCTGAGCCATTAGCAGCTGCGTTAAGCTGCTGTTTATTAATTAGTACAGTATCCAGAATTAACCCAGTTCTGTTAATCTGTTTATAAACAGCTGGGAGAACATTACAATTATTATATGCAATTTTGCCACCTGAAAACTATTATAAAATAGCGCCATATAATTTGCTAATTGCAGCATAAACGTACCAAGCACGAAGTCATGTACCTTAACAACAACTGTGGAGCGAAAAACCCAAACCATTTAATTACATGCCAGATTTTAGGACACAGCCCTGCTCCCCTTGCTGAAACTGCGGCCGAAGCCACTGGTTGAGGATGGATCGCAGAACTGGGACCCGGCTCCTGCCGGCCCAGGGTAGATCCCTCACCAGCGACTGGCTGATGGAAGGGGCGCAGAGCCTGGCCCAGGGCCACCCTTGTTTCTGGGCAGGTGAACTTCCTACTGACACGGGACGGGAACGGGAGTGGTGATTTCAGGTTTGGGGCGTTAAAGGGACACCGGTTTCCTTTGAGATGTGCGTCTCCTAAGCCTTTTGGGTTCTGTTCTGTCACCCAGCCCTCCTCCTACTGCTCAGCCCTTCTGTTCCGCTGTAAGCCAAAAGGCTCGTGTGTAGTTTGCAGTTCAGGAGAGCCAAATGCCATGTCACTACCTTCATTGTAGAGTGCTTTTTTCCTTTGATGCCCAGCCTTGTCCAGCGTGCTCCGTGTCACAGTGCTGCTAACGGGCCGTGACCTTCCGTGTGTAATCCCCGGCTGTGCTGCCCCGTGCCTTCCGTGGAATCCCGGGTGCGGCCCTGGGTTTCCCACCTGGCCGTAGCTGGCTGTCCGTCGCCTGCTGATTGCCAAGTCAGATGCAGTAAAACCCCGTAGAGATTCTCCATTCGCGACTTGCAAAGTAACCCTCTGCAACGCTTTTTTTTTTCTTTTTCTAACTGGAAACCTGAAAAGTGTACAAAAATTTGCATTAATTCCCATAGCATCGCCGAGGTTTTTAGCCATTTTGAACTTTATTTTTTTAAATAAGCTGAAAGACAAAGAACACAATTTTACACATTTTCTTTCTCTTACGTAGCCTGGAATCATACACACTTTTTTTTTTTTTAAAGCACAATGTTGAAACTTCTTTTTTTTAATAATTAAGGGTTTGGTCAAGTGGATTTTGTAAAATGTATTTGTCTGTATAAAGAGAAAATGAAATTATAGTTATTGTTAATGTACTGACATTAGTTACAGGTTAGTTTTAATTCTTAAATAATTTGCTTAGCAAATGCTATAAAATGGATGTTTCAGTTTAATGTTTAAAAAAGGTACAGATTTTTACAAGGACATAATATAAATTATTGTTCTGTAGAAAATACCCTGTTAAATATTGTATACGTCCTTCCCTCTGTACACTTTGTAAAAAAGACAAAAGAAAAAAACAAAATACATAGAATCATATAGGGATGTGTGACATTATTGTAATTGTGTACTTGATAATAACGTGAAAAAATAAAATTCAAAGTATTTTCCTTTTAATGAACGTTCAGTCTATTTGATGCCAGCACTGAGCTCAAGCGGTGCTCTGCGGGACGCGGCCGGCTGCGGCCGGGGTGCGTTTCCCCTTACCGTCTTTTCCGGGCTCACTGCGCGTGGCACCGGGGTGCGGGGGATTCGGTCCCTCGTTCGCTTGCAACGGGCCTTCACGAGGAGGTCTGCGAAAGCGGAAGGCAGGGGTGGCAGGTCTTCAAAGTCCGTTTCGATGCCTGGTTTTATATCAAAGGATTCATGTCTGTTAAACCGCTTACAATGCCTTCATGTTTTTCGGCAAGGCGGTTACCTCCTCAATGCCGCTACGCCGTCCCAAAGAGCCCCCGCCAGACCTCCAGTCCAATGAGGGGACCGCTCTCGGTCAGACTACATTAATAAAATGTGTTTCCCGGCGCCCTTTCTTTTGGTGCAGGAGCCCTTCGGGGCTGGCGGG